GTGTTCCTTCTGACACTATAAACTCAGAAGAAGCCAGAGTAATCTCTTTGACTGACCTCCTTCCTCCTGCAGACCACACAAGAGTTCAAGATCTTTCATATCTGAATTTATTATACACGAAAATTAGTCTGGACTAGCCACTGCGAATTTTATCTTTAACTGCCCTCAGAAGTAAAAAGCCTTCAGAAAGACACTGTTCTGCTGCTTCAGCGTTGCAGCAATTATTTGATCACATGGGACATTTCAGATCCTTGCATATATAGCTGTTACCAGTTGTCCTATCTGTCCCTGTTTCTGAATGAGCTTCCATAAGGAAAATGTGAGTAATTTGGCAAATCATCTAAAGCCAGTTGTGGGTCTCAGATCAGGCCACAGTGGAGAGATGTCAATGCCACAGGTCACTCCTGAATGTTCATCCCACAGTCTAAAGGGCTGGGGACCCCTCCTTTAAACGAGACCCTTGTTACAGAGGTTTATGTAACATCTGGGTAGATGCCTCTAGTCCTTGGCCTGTCACTGTGATGCTTTTCACCAGCAATCAGTTGAAGCTATTTTAGGATTCAATGCGGAAACAAACCTTCCAGTGGTCTCATTGCTTAATTTCTCTCTATTGCCTTAAGTACAATGGCTAATAGCTAAAGTGGACTTCAGGGTGTTGCCAACAGAGCTCTAAAATGGTTTCCTGCATTTTTCTTCTATTTGGAAGCTATTTTAAGTTGTTCCACCTTCCCTGGACTGCCCAAGAGGAGCTGTGCTGTGCACTTTCATCAGCTGATTCTGGGAAATGTCAGTTATGCTGTTCTTCTGTTAGTAATATGTTTCTTGAACGACTTAAAAATAGCACAGTATGAAACATTTCCATCTTCTCTCTCCTCAGATGAGAACTGAGGAGGAGTTAACTCTTTTTTGCTTCACTGGAGCAAGAAGTCGTGCAGTGTTCAGGTGCTCTGGGGCTGGAGCCAGTTACTGGTGCTGAGATAAGCAACACAGCACCTGGTCAGAGCCTGAGCTGAAGAAGATCCCTGCTGTTACCAGAGCTGCCAGCAGACCTGGCACATGTGGCAGCTGTGTCAGTGCACACAGCAGGACTGCACATCCAGCTGCTTACCTGCCTCTGGTGCTTTTACAGCTTGCTCGGGGAGCTCCTCTCTGCCTACTGCTCTAACACACCCTAGAGACTAAATGTAAGCTGGGAACACCTCACAGGCATCCACGTCTGTCCTATAGTGCCATTCCATTTTTGCTCTCAGCTGGCGCACCTCACCACTGGCTACTTGACTTATGTCTTTTGTTCATGGCATCTCCTTCCTCAGCTGTTGTTTCCTGTTAATGTCCCCTCTATTTTCTTTTACCTTCCAGCATTTTTTCCTTTAGTTTTTGGTCCCCCCCCCCCCCCCCATCCCCCAGCTTGTTTCTTTTTCTTCCTCCAATGCTGATATTTTCTCTAGTGGTATCTTCTCCTACACTCCCCACTGAAGGCAGCTTGGAAGACAGTCACCTACGGTGCTGTCCCAGGGACCAGCTTGGCAGCAGCCTGCTATGATAACCCTGTATCTACATGTGTTAGAGGCAGAAAAAGAAGAAAGATCCTTTTATCATCCAAACAGCAGAAGCATATAATCATTAGACACAGCTTCCCCTACCCATTGCACTTGCCATGCCCTTTTCCTCTGGTCTGTGGGCCCTCTGGGACTACTCTGGTAACCACAATGTTGGGAAATACTGTTTCAACCACAAAATACAGCTTCCTCTTTCAGATGACGATTAACTTTTCCCCCTGTGGACAGCCTAGAAACACTTCAACAACAACTGGCCTTGTGTTGCCCGCATCATCTGGAGCTGGAGGGGGAGTAGAGGCTGGCACATGGTAGCAGTGAAGGGGAGAAAGGGTGATGCAGTTAATTCAAAATTACTTGTTTTGGTTCTGGCCAAGGTTTAGTGCTGCAGGAAGGGCTACACAGGAGAGTGCTAGCATCAGAATGAATACAAATATTCCCATAAGTCTGGGGCTATGGGGCATTTCTTTTCAGAATGGTATCTAGAGGCACATAAGGGCTTTAAATTGCTTCCAGAATTGGTGTGATCTCATTCTAGTTTCTTCCTATCCTCATGAGCAAATAATACATGTAGGACATCACCCTTGCTTTCTCTGCCCATAACTGCTTTAAAGTACTAATTAGATGGTTATAAATCACAAGGGATCTGTGGTGTTTTGAATGACTCCAAACTTTGGCATTACAGCTGAGGTCTTGAATGCATTTGCAAGCAAATCCACTCAACACAGGTTTCTGTTGATTCAGCAGTGATGTTGTATCAAACTTTCCTGAGAACTCTGACAGACTTAAGTTTATTAAAAGAAGTCCGGGCAGCAGAGCCAAGTTTAGCTGCAGCCAAGTTATTCACTAAGACAGCAAGCTGAGTATAAAAGCAGAAGGACAACTCTCACCTCTGTGCTGTGACTGGTTTGAGAGCCTGCCATTGCTTTGTCTGCAAATGCTGCCATGTGCAAGGGTCTGTCCTAAACAGGAATTTTCTGTACCCACAGTGACCTAGAATTTCAACCTTAGGTTATGTTAAGAAGACACCTATGTGCTGTTTGTCTCCACTTGAGAGACAAACATCTGGGCAAGATGCATTTTCCATCAAATAAAGGCTCTACAGACATAAGGGGAAACAGTAATAAATTTTGCAAGAAATTTTTTTCCAGTAGAAAAATACTAAGTTGCTAATAACTCTCAAACCTTATTTTCCATGGAATTTCAGACATGAAGGAAGGTTTCCAAAGGTGCTTGGCAAGTAACATTACATCAGTACCACACATGGATTTTCCCCACAAGTTTCCTGGCTCCTCAGGAACCCGCCAGAATTTACCACACTTCCCCAGCCCTTCACCAAAAGAGATGTGATAGCTGGGAATGCAAGGCTTTTACACTCCCTGATAAAATGTTTCCTGGGAGATATGGACTCGGGAAGCCCTTGACAACCGCTGACTAAAATTGGCATAGTCCTTGTCATCTCTACCACTCTCTGCAGCTGAATATGTGCACTCAGACCTCTCTACCATAACAGCAGAGATCCCATCACTTCAAAGCAGCAGCTACCCCAGGTCTGTGAATTGTGTCTCACCAAAGGGAATGCAAAAAAGTAGCTATGTCTGCCATCATGTTTCTGTTTATTTCTGGTTCTTGGGGAATTCTGGAAAGGGTATCTTCATTTATTGGAAAAAACCTAAGAACAACAGCTTAATACAAACAGTAATCCCCAAGTTTCAAGAAGCCCTTTGCACATGCACATACATGTTCCCTGACATGCTTTAGGGTGCCTGCCTAGCCAGGCTGGAGGGGGATCTTCTCAATCCAGCTTAATCACTAGCACTTCTCCAGAGGGGTAGGAGCTATACAGGAGGGGGTAAAAGTAAAATATTTTCAAGGACTTTTTAATGCACCTAAGACAAATGTACTAGGAATAACTCAGCTACATCCTTCTATGAGCACAGCATTGTTTTCCCAGTGGCCATGAGTTGTGCTGCTCTAAGAGGCTGAGGTGTGCTTTAAAGAGCTTCATACTTGTTTGAAATCCCCTGAGAATGCCATGAACTGGTGGCCTTCCTGAGTATCTGGGAGGGAACCAGGGGCCACTACAGGGCCAGGGCAAAGCCTCTGTTCAGAAGACCCTCCTTTTGGAGGCTTGTTACACAACCCCAGCCAAAGCACTAAGATGTTACATGCCAGGCTCTCAGGCAGTGAATTAGCAATAGCACAAGTTGCCTCACACAGGGAAGTCAGGTGAAATTCAGTGTTTATAAAGAGCAAACAATGTCCCTGGGCAGTATAAAATATGATCTTTTTTCTTTTATTGACACATTAATAGTTAATGCTTGGTTTGGCTAGAGATGATGACACTGCTGTTGCTCATCATTTATCATCTCTAGATTATTATGGTTGCAAATCATTTGGCAGATTCCTCTCTCTTTTTCCTGCTCCACAGATGGCAGTGTCCATGAAGCATGACACCCTTGCAGGCATCTGACTGTGAGGCTGGAAGCTTAAGGACCTTTGGGGGAAAATGCCCCTCAGTATTATATGACCTCTAATGTTCTTGGACCGATGCGCTGTAATTTGCACAGTCCTCTCCGACAAAAACTCCCTCTGCTGGGATCTTGGCTTGCAGACTGTGCTGCTTCTGAGAGGAGCCTGTGCCTGTGAAGGGCCATCACACCTTAGGGTGTAATTTTATTGCTGTGCCATTAAATGTTCATGTTTCAGCTCCAGTTCAACCTCTTCCAGGGTGGGGGTCTAAGGCACTTAAACTGTAGCTAGACTAAGGGATCATGGAGTAAGCTCACCACTGTAATTTTATGTGAAAGGAAACACGCAGAAGCTGCACTTCTCCAGCTGATGTCCTATGTTTTTTCCAGCTAACAGAGCTGAGCAGCTCCTGCAGCTGCAAATGAGGGTGTTTCCAGTCCCAAGACACACTGAATCAATCAATGTGCTGTTCTCCTCTGCTGGCTTATTAACAGTTAAAAACTAAGAAAACATCATGTCTTCCCTGAACACCTGCCTCATTTGCCTTCCCCTCAGCATAGCAACAACCCCCACCATGGACTAGCCCTCATTTGGCAGCTTGGGGGGAAACACAGGTCAAATTCTTTTTCAACGATGAGCTGTAACCCTGTGATCTTTAATAGGATTATACTGGGGGAAAAGGACAGGACTCAGCCTTGTGATTGCAGAGTAACTTATGATTCATGGACACTAGTGTACTGTGTGGGGACATCCTGGACAGGGCTGATGCCTTCTCCTCCTTGCATTAAAATCTGTTTGTGCAGAAACATGTAGTTTTTTCCACTGTCCCTAACCTCAGTCCCTGACCCTGCATGGCCAGCACTGTCCAGCTGCCTAGGGCTGGGCCAAGTCCAGAGCAAGGATGGAGCAGTCAGTGAATAACAGAAGTGACCAGCCATGCTCTCTCTGGGTTTGTGCCCTGGGGTTAACTGGCTTTCTAAGTGAATCACAGTACAATTCACTCTTCCCTCCTAACCCTTCAGCTTTTTCTGCCTTACAGCTCTCCCCAGAAGCATACTTTGCTGACAACATGCAAGCTGGTATGTGCTGCAGCACTGGTGACTCTCAGAGGAAATCCTGGGAACAATTTCTCTTTTCTTCCGCATGCAACTTTTTTTGGTGAAATTTAGAAGACCAGTACTATTTTTGGAGCTCTTTTCTGGCTGAAATTGGCTAACAAGTTTAATCATAAGGGTGACAAAGACGGTAGTCCACAAGATTCCCATGAAAGTTCCATAAGAAACAAGTCTAAAACATACCTAAAATTAGGTGGAGTGTGCTGTGTTAGGAAGCAGGGCAGGTTTACAAGACAGAGACAGAGCATGTGCAGCAGAACATGCCCCTCTCCCAGGGGCATCCTTCAGGACTGCCTTCACAGCCAAATAGTCTATTCCAGCCCTCAGCTAGAAGCTCTTCCCACTGTTTATGATGGGCCTGTACTGAAGGATAAAGACCCAGGCACCGCTGAATCACGCATTTGCCACCTCCCACCACCACTAATGCACCATACACCACTTAGGAACGAAGGTTTGGGGTTTCTAGAAATAGAGTGAAATAAAATATCATGTCATCTGCCTGAAGAGTCAGCAGCCCACATGTTCTCCCACACACACTGCTATGATGGTACCATACCAGTGCTTTGGGCAGTCCTTGGGCTGTTGCTTTGGGAGCAGATTAGATTCAGGCTCCAGCTCCTGAGCACAAGTGTGCTGCAGAGACAGGCACTCACACCAGCAACATGTAGCAGGGGTAGTGGTCCCTTTCACATCAGGGCAAACCCTGCAGGAGATCAGAACAGAAGAGTGTCACCAGTAATATTACAAGTACAGCTTCTTTTTTCTCTCGCAGGAACAGGATGATCTTACTGTAACCAAGCCTGAATTCAAGCACCTCTTCTCAATATAACCCATCCCATCACTGCAAAATGCAAAAGCTGGTAAATAAAATTCCTAATGTATCCTAGCAGGGAGAAGAGTTTCTTCAGAAAGTGTCTATTTAGATAATCTCTGCAGTGCTCAGATACCATAGAAATCAGTAAAAAATAATATCATAGTGAGCCTGCTGCACTAAAGCTTTATGTATCATTTACTGTTGCCAAGACTAAAACTCTCTTGGGGTCTCTTCCCGCAGGCTTGCCCCAGTAGGTTGACATATTTTGCGATCATTTTGCACTTTCCACAAATTTTACCATCATATTGTTTCTAACCATCTTTCCTTTCCCTGAACCTACAGCTCCTTGCTGTCCAGTACTCTCCAGGAACAGCTTCCAGGTAATGCCTATTCCCTCATTTGGTTCCTGCATGGGCATTTTTCTGAATACAAATTTCAGACTATTTAGCATTGCATATCTCATCATTGCTCCCTGATTTCCTTGTGCTCTCCACTGATACCTTGTTGCCAGCTATCCTATATTAGCAGAATCTTGGGCAGTTTTAAAAATGGCTAAGTCTATGTCAGAATCAAGGCAATTTGAATCATCTTTGATGAACTCTTTTTAAATGCTTTACTGAGACACAAATTTATTCCACCTTATCACATGCTCCTTGAATCTACTTCGCTTGCAATTCTACATGGTAGATTCATTTGAAATTCATTTTGCTGAGGCATATGTACATTTGCTAGACTGCTTATCCTATATTCAGAGGAAACTGCCTTTTAGGCAAGCTTTTGCTGCTGGAAAGTCTGAAGACCAAAGTCCAAAATGGTTTAGTTCACACCCAGCTCCTGCAGTGCTGGGTCATTAGAAGCACTAATGCTTCATTCATTAGAAGAAATTTCACCTCAGTCTCCACCTTCATGCTGCCTTCTTACGGGTCACAGGCATGTTAGAGGCTCTTGTCTTCTGCTCCTTTTCTGTGATCAGTCGATTGTGATAGCAAGCTCCCAGCCCCAGTACTCCCCTTGCCAGAGTCCTGCAGGAACATCTGATTTCTTCCTAGCCCTGGCAACTACTGTGGAGCTCAATTCAGGCAGATGAGCAGCATCTAGAGGACCTGCCTTGTGGGATATAGACTAGGCTACAGATTTCCCTGGACAGTTTTCTAGCATAGTCATCTGATGACAAAGAAGTCATGCATTGTTTTCTTAAAGTGCTTGAGGAAGGAAAAAACATCAGTCCAAGAATTTAGGAAAAAGCTTTGAACTGTCTGTAAATAGGTGCAAAATATTAATTATTCAGCCTTGCTGAAGACAGTGGGCTATTTTTCTCAGTTTGTATTTTTTTTCTAATATGTGTTATTCAGGGAGTAGCCCAATTCAAAAACCTCTCTAGATGTAAAGAAATCCCAGAACAGACAGGAATAATGGATGACTTAGGCTATATAAACAGTGCATTATCAAAACACATGGTAGGTCCTAGCCCAGGGGTGGCTGCCCATGCATGAGTATATGCATGTTGAAGTGGCAGCTGCACACCCCTCAAGATGAGAGGTATTTGCTTGCACTGTGCTTCCCTCACCTTGCAGATTCCTGATCAACACAATTGTGTTTAATCCCTGACCTTTGTAATCTATTCCATGTGCCACTATCCACATTTGCAGATTTTCCTGAAGCAGGTATCTGTACAATGCAAGGTCAGAGTTTGTCAAGAATATGTGTATCCTAGTTGGAAAGCAATAAAAAGACTGAGAGTGTTACAGAAGGGAAGGTGTTTTATTGATAGAGAAGAGCAGATCACAAAATACTCAGATTCAGAACAGGGTAAGGGTGAACAATCAGTGACAAAAGGAATCCGTGTCCACGCAGATTGGTGATGTACCACAGTCAGTCATGGTAAATGACCTTTTAAATACCCCCAAGTACTCTGTTCTTCCCCTGCAGCAATTCAGGGGATTCTGTTTGAATAGGCAGATTTGCAAGCAAAGACCAACTCTCCCAACCAGCTACTGCAGCGAGTGTTTAACGGGAACTCCTGGATCCTGAGACCCCTGGTGCCCTTCACCCCTGCCCCAAGAAACACAGCCCACACACCAGTGCAGGGATGTGTCTTTCAACACATGCCAAAAGCGTGTCCTCAAAGTATTTTCCAATCATCTACTGTGGCTTCTAAAGCAATAAAAATGCAAAAGAAAGCTTTTATGCTGTAAGCATCTTAAAATGCTAGAGCATTTTGACTATTAACCTTCTTACTTTTGGATGCTGCAAGCATTTAAAGATCTGCCTGGCTAAGCACCCTTTCATTAACTAATGTAGCTGGAAGTTAGTGGAGGTAGATAAATAAATTAAACACAATGCAATGAAAGACTGCAAAAAAGGTCGAAGTGGACTGCTAAAAGCAGCTTTATTTTGCAATTTCTCATCAAAACTAACATTGATTATATATGTTATTTCGCCAAAGGAAGAAAATTTCTCTGTTTGTGCTGACATTTTGATCCTTTTTTTTTTAAATGGAGTGGTTCAAAGAATCATTTCCACCACTCTGCCTATGAAGCAGGTTTGAAGATTTGTGGCATTGTCTCCTAAGCTGTTGGCAAAACTTGAATCACAAACAGAAGACTAAGGCTCAAGGGGTTAATGTTTCTAGCACAGTCAAGTGATGACAGGAATGATCTGAGAGGGTTTATATATTATAAAGAGCAAGGACACAATCAGCAAAATACACCAGGATAGACTTAGCATTCAGGGGTAAAGTTAAGAAGGGAAAATGTGGAGTCTGAGGAAGGACTTCTTGGTGGTGAAGTATACAAAATTGACTCTCAAAATTAATATGACAGAAGCTTTACTGTTTGGTACATTTAAAATTAAGTTGGACAAAGCAATATTGAATAAATGAGAGATAACAGTTCTGATCTAGCAGGAAGGCAGACTCAGGCTATTTTCATCCTCAACTCCTTGGAGCTGGCTGTTAGCATGATTGTTTCCATGCAGGAAACTAAAAGTCTTCACAGAATAGCAGGTAGCAGAGAGCTATGCCTGTATCTACTACCAGCTCTGGCAATTTTAGGACAGTTTGCCAGACAGATCTATGAAGAACAGGAAAAAAACATGAGGACTGAGACTGCTTTTGAACTCTATGCTAAATCCAGAAATATCAAACACAAAATTCTGAAATAAAGAGTATGTGAGAGAGAAATTTAAAAGTACTTTTATAGTTTGCCTTGTAAAAGAGATGTGTCATCAATATTTATTTTCTGAAGCCAGACTAGATGAGGCAATTTATTACAGGAGATTATGAAAAAAAGGTGCATTCTTGTGGCAATAGAAGTCATGGCTGGGCTTTGATGGGTTCTACTACTGATTTTCTGCAAAACCCAAAGTCACCTATTCTACCTTCCCCAGAGCAACCCTGACAACATGGCAGTGGATGGGACTGTCTGCCAAGTTTGCTTCATCTTATGCTTCTTGTTCAAATTGCTCCAAAGACAAAACTCTCCCATCTGGGCTAAATATTAATAATACACAGAAACTGGGACTTCACTAAAGTGTGGTCAGCAAAATCAAAGCCTACTATAGTGAGAATTTAATCTAAGTATTTAAACTCCTGAAGGCTAAAACAGCTCTTTTGCAAAGCTCCTCAGCCAGGTGCTGAGTTTCAGGCAGCCTTAACATAGTGGTGAGCCATGAAGTTGGGTGAGAGGCAGGGTCAAGGGCAGCTTGCTGCAACTGCTCACAGCAGGATCCAATTGAAGGCATGATGTTATATACCGTGGGTCTGGCTCTGTACCTGTTGCAGGTTTGGTGGATCCTTGATCCTGCATTGCAAGACACAGACAACCCTCAGGAAAAAAGGAAATTGTTGAAAAAGCCTGCCCTAACTCCTGAAGACAACAGACTTTTGAACTGGCACATAAAAGTGACCTACTCATTTAATGCCTTTCCTTCAGCAATAGCTGAGAACTTCAAGGCCCAGCTGTGTATCACCAGCACACCATCATACAGCCAAGTGATACTTAAGAGATCTGACTTCTGCAAATTAGGTAGTCCGTTTACTGCCTGTTTCTGCTAATACTGGGACTTGCACATGAGTATGACATGATGGGAGGGAAAAGACACAAAAGTTGGATTTGTGCTGCTGCTAATGACTGTTATGACAGGAGAAGCATTGTTTAGATACCAGTCTGGGTCCTGAGATCTTGGTCAGAGTCATCCCAAAGCTGCAGGATAAAGCAGCAGCTTTTGATCAGCAGCAACTCCCAGGGACCAGCCAGGCTGACAGCATCACTGGCTTTACAAGGAAAAGACTGGCAAAATAGAAGTATATTTTATGCTTGACAAATGGTAACTACTAACAGTAATTGTCATCACTTTTTCCTCAATCCACACTTCCAAGTCCCAGGCTCATATCGCAATCTGGTTAATGCCCAGAAGGGAGAACCAGTCACATGCACACACACTCCTATGTATTTTTCTGGGAAAAGTCACACAGTTGTAACAGGAAAAATGGGACAGTACTGAAACATTCTCAGCTTCAAGCCCTGGCCAATCAAGGAGAACTGTGAAATTATGGGACAGTTTTCAGGCAGAAAGGACAGATCCTAGTTTCATACTTCATTCAAAACTAGGTTACCTGAGCCTTGGAGAGCACACTGTAGGCAACACTCTTGAAGGGAGTTCAGGGGGCAAATAGATCAACAAAAATTCACCATATACACCCTTCATTTCAATTTCCTAAAGTTCCACAAAACCATGCACGAGGAAACCTGGTTTAGGCAGTAGAGGCAATTTTGTCCATACCATATCTGTGCTTGTTCTCCTGGAAAACCATCTAGAAGTAGCTGGTACTGTGTTTTCCACTTGGCTTTCATGACTGAAAGATTAGCAATATGTATTTGTCATATATA